AAAGTGACATTAATTGCATATCCCACAGATACTTATTATGTATTCTATTTATATCAAAGTATAAAATGTAGTTGAAAATATACAGATTCAATATATTTAAGGGTGATAATAAAACATAGTTACTCTGGCCTAGCAAAATTGTTATTTTTAAACTTGAATTTATGGTCTCTCTGTAAAATAGTATTATGGTATTAAGTGAAAATGGTATTCAATCTTTACACTTGAATCTCCTGTGATTAAGAGTCTTTGGGACTTAAACAAGTACATATTCAGGCATAGAACTATAACATTGTATTTTAGAGGCTTTTGCACAAAAATAACCCCTAAGTGATTAAATCATAGGACACTCTTTTCTCATACTTTAAAAATGAAAATGCCCAAAAAAGCAACTCTTAGGAATTACCTTGGAAAACTGGAAACAATGTAATCGATGCTTACTTTGGATATTAGTCAGTATGCACTGACAGGCCCCTATGGAACATAATTTTTAAAAGTCTAATACCCATCAATAATTGGCAAACAAGGGCAGCCCTGGTGGCTCAGCGGTTTATTTAGCACCACCTTCAGCCCAGGGCGTGATCCTGGAAACCGAGAATTGAGTCCCACGTCGGGCTCCCTACATGGAGCCTGCTTCTCTCCCTCTGCCTGTGTCTCTGCCTCTCTCTGTGTCTCTCATGAATAAATAAAATCTTTAAAAAAAATTGGCAAACAAAAGACAACTCAAAATATTATTTGAGTTAAAGCAAAGGAACTTTGTCCAACAGGAGAAGACCAACAGGAGTAATCTTTCATAAAGTTAATGAAAAACACAGTGAAAAGTATTTTTAGAAAATATTATAATATCACTTATATAGCATTAAACATTTAACTTCAAATTAATTTTGTTTAAACTAAATATGTAGTTGATTGATTTAACATTTTCTAACAGGAAAACCAGCTACAATCATCCAGAGGATAATGTACTTAAGTACCTAAAATAATAGCATTAATAAGCAAATTATTATAGAATATTCAAGATCTCACGCATAATTTTTTCCCATATTTCAAGATTATTAGCAAAATGCAACAAATGTTTATATATTAGCACATCTACCATATCAAGAGACTTCCACATATATTCTCTTATAAAAACCAGAAAAAAAAAACTATTTTTAAAAATGGAGTAATTACAAAGTCTTTCCCTCTGGGATAATTATAACCATCTTATAAAACAGATTTTTTTTTTAAAGATTTATTTATTTATTTATTTGAGAGAGAGAGAGAGAGAGAACATGCTGGTGCATGCGCACATGCAAGCAGGGGAGGGGCAGTCGGTCAGAGAATCTCAAGCAAACTTCACACTGACTGGAGTGCCTGCTGGTAGGCTTGATCCCAAGACCCTGAAGTCATGATGTGACTTGAAATCAAGAGTCAGATGCTTAACTGCTTGGCCACCCAGGTGCCCATATAAAGCATATTTAAATAAATCTTAATGTACCATGCAACCGCTAAAGATTGACTAGAATGAGAAACCTGGACTCAACAGGGCTCTAATTTCATTTTGCTATTACTTTCCTCACATGTAATAAACACACATTTATGATTTACTCCCATTCTATCCAAATTGTTAATACTGATAACATTTCCCACAGACACATTCATTACTGACATTTTAATCGTATTGTTTTATAACTTTGTTAGAATATTTCGGTATCCAAGAAATATTTGAAAATATTTGTTTGAAAATTAGAATTCTATAAAAGAATAGTTGAGACACAAAAGCACATTTTAGATGAAGCAGCTATGGATTCTGAGGTCATCCTACAGAAGAATAACTGAATACTGATTATTTTATATTTGTCCACTAAGAGGATAACATACTCAAAGTGCAAACTTATTGTTTATAATGAGTTTAATAATGAACGTCAGCCTAAATTACCAACTTTCAACAGGAAAGGACAGTAGCACCAACAATTATTTAGATGGATTTTACTCATAGCACATAAAACAAAACATTTCAATTCATTTCCATGAGGTACAAACCTATAATTTTTTTTAGCATTAAATACACAAAATTATTGTGCCAAATCACTGTAATGTTTCTTGAAGTTTACTCCTCAACATCTATACTGTCTCTTTAGAAGCAGTGGCCTAAAAGACAGATGTTATGTTTCCACTTAAACAGAAGCTCATATGCTTTGGTGAAGAAAACACAGAAAGCCAGAGGTGGAAAGGCTCATGAAACCCCGTACTACATCATATTCACAGAGCCATGACATCCTAATGGAGTAATGGTAATGCCAAATAATGATAACAAAAGTACCGCCAAACATATATTGAATGGTTACTACCTGTTGAGTACTATGATTTTTGTATATTATGACTGAATTCTCATAGGTACCCTATGAAGTAGGTACCATTATTTTTAATCTCCATTTCACAAATGAAGAAACTGAGGATCAAAGTGGTTAAACGTCTGTTTCATTTCAAAGCCTGTGCTTCTAATTGCTATTTCATATTATACGCGTATATTTCTTTGGCCCAAAGATTTTAACAGTCATCAATAGGAAATACACAGATGAGTAGTACAACTGAAGGTACCATAGAGACAAAGGAAAAGCTGACCACATGTGCCCCACAAAGAGAAATAATACAATCAAATTTAATAAATGTAGCAAATAAACTCCTTGCACTATAAAATGCAGTAGAGACCAATTAAGAGAATGAATGACTTCTTCAAAGATTAAAAAGTATGTATATTCTTAGTTAATGCAGCAGAGATTCTATACTAAAATAATGGGATAAGTAAGTCAGCTATGGTTACCACAAGCCCTGGTACTGTTAGTACTGCTGAAAAATAAAGCTGCAAGGATTAAGAGTGATTATGTCCTGGATCATGGAATTTTATTGGGAAGTTGCTGGTGGGATGTCAAAGAAGCTTTATGAATCATTACGAGGAAGAGAAAGCTGATAGAAACTAATGTCTGAAAAGGAAACTGGAACACAATGGTTTATAGATCATCTTACCCAAGTCCATGCTACCACCACTGCAATGTAAAGCATCAGCTCAAAGAGGTAATAAACAATAAAGCATTTCAAAGAAATGATAAGTATGTCCAACATTAATTTCTTTCCCCAATATTTAAGACCAATATCTAGACATTAGTAAACAATCTTTGACAGTCTAAAAAGGGCTTTTGTGTTTGACTAAACCATTTTTTTTAAAGATTTTGTTTATTTATTCATGAGAGTCAGAGAGAGGGGAGAGAGAGAGAGAGAGAGAGAGAGAGAGAGAGAGAGAGAGAGGCAGGCAGAGACACAGGCAGAGGGAGCAGCAGACTCTATACAGGGAGCCTGATGTGGGACTTGATCCTGGGTCTTCAGGATCCTGGGCTGAAGGCGGCGCTAAACCACTGAGCCACCTGGGCCGCCCAAATAAATCATTTTTTTGAGTACACAGTGGAGGGGAATACAGAATTTATCTCCAGATCTTGCCACTAGCTGTTTTAAATTTTTATGTCTATAATCACAAACGCATTAGCCAGACTTTTAAACGTAAATGATGATTCATTAATAACTTACAGTACTGCCCAATACCCACATTACCCACGTTACCCACAAATTTCTCATTTCCAGTGGGAATGAAGGAGCTGCTCTCGATGAAGTCAAGCTCAAGTCACAGAAATGAAAACAAGCATCATTAAAACAGACAAGCAGACACCTTTAATCACAGTTCAGGGATTCCAAAGAAGATAGAAAGCGAAGTTCTAATTAGTGAGAGACTGTGTAACATAAGAACATAAAGAAAATATTTATTGATATTCTTTTCTTTGGGCTAGATGAACAGCCCTGCTCTGGTCTTAAGCCCTTGACTTGTTTGAAATTCTCTATAATTCAAATAATGAATTCATATTTACTGAGTCTATTATATATATAGCTTAACAATATCTTCTCAATTTTCCATGTTCTACCTGAGAGACAGAAATTGCAGAAAATATCTACCAAGCAACTACCTAACACTAGATATAAATGTTATATTGTTTCAATATAAAGGATACTTTAAATATCTGTAGCACTACACAACTAATTCATATTTATTATAACTGCAATCTTTCTAATTTTCCCACTCACCCTAATTAAGCCACTGAATAAATATACATACAAACATATACACATATCTAAAGAGTGACTGGCTCTCTATTCTTCTGCTAGGTTACAGAAGTTATGTGTATGAAGATGATTACCATATTATGTTCACAGTGAGGGACATTTAGCTTACTTTTAGAAATGTACTTCCCAATAAAATGGAAAGAACATGGATATCCTATAGAATGGTTCAGGTTTAGGTCTAGCTTCATGTGTGTATGATCTGTGTGACCCTGCACTTCTTAGAATGCTTGGCTTAATGATCTGCTGTTGTCATTTTGAAATTCTGGCTAATTTTTTTTTAAAGGTGACATTCATTTTATTTTATTCATACATTCCAGGGGACTGGACTCTGCAGATTATGGAGCCAATCCTGCTTGGATCTGAATTATGACTTCACTACTTAGTATGTCTAATATAGTGTAAGCCTTAGTTTCTTCTCCTGTACAACACTCATTTAACAGGGTTGGTGTATTAGATGAAATTATCATAAGTGAAAGTAATGAACACAGAGTCTGGCACATTAAGACACAAAAGACCTATGAAATGAGGAGCTGGAACAATTCTTTCACTTACTTCTATGGATCTGAGATATACAGAAACCACCCTAAGTCATAATTAGGTGTAGCTAAAACTGGGATGCCTGGGGTGGCTCAGCGTTTAAGGGTCTGCCTTGGGCTCAGTGTGTGATCCTGGAGTCCCGGGATCGAGTCCCACATCAGGCTCCCTGCATGGGGCCTGCTTCTCCCTCTGCCTGTGTCTCTGCCTCTCTCTCTCTCTGTGTCTCTCATGAATAAATAAATAAAATCTTTAAAAAAACAAACAAACAAAAAAACCAAAAAACAACGCAGCTGAAACTTAAACTTAGTACTTACAGCCCATATATTTGTGGTGCGATTTCTAGTCTGTTCAAGTGCATATAAAGCTCAATATCATGCTTCTTCAGTAGATGATCCTGGATTTGGTTAACTTTGGTAACAATAGCAATTGTTGGCCCTAAATCCTGTGGTCTAGCAAAGGGGATGGGAGTCATCAGTGTTTCTTTCCCCTAAAAACAGAAAAAAAAAATGAAGCATGTGTTATTTCAATATGAAATGAACAAATATATGGAGATCACTCTTGAATATATTTGTCAATTGGAGCTTAAATAAGAACCAGTAACTAAACATCTCATGACAAATGCTTAAATTGTGAAATCATATGCTGATCATGCTCAGATGATTGTGTTCATAAAGCAAAGGCCAGAAAATGTCCTCTAAGATATTTCCTACCTGCATTCCCTTAACCAGTTTCTCTGATGACATTAAGTATTTCAAGATAATTTTTGCTGAAGGTAGTGGTGGCTGCTAATCTACTTGTCTATAGTTAGTTTGTCTAATCAGCTATAGCACTTAAATGGGATACTCTAATGAAAACATATTTCTTGTGACATAAACTTAAATAGAAAAAACAGTAAATGAAAACTTTTACTTTAAACTCTCAAAACTATGAAAAAAAAAGTCAGCAAATAAAGGAAACTAGTATTAGAAAAGAAGATATTTTCTAACTGTCCTTTGGTCAATTTAAATAGCTGAGTGGGAAAATTTTTAAACTCTCTAGACCAAAACTACAGTTGAATAAAAAAAAAATCTATCTAGGCCAACTACGAATTTTCTTCCTCCCATTCCAAATCCCACATTAAGAAAGATCTGAAATGTTTGTAAGGCTTTCACATAAACTTCAACTCTCCACTCAAGTCTGGTGATTTCCCCTAACATATTATATCTGATCTTTCTTATGCTGAGTCCTCAATTTCTACCTCTCTCTAATGTTGGGATTTAGAGTATCATTCTCCTGTGATTGTCTGCCACTCATCTTCACTCTACTTCTCTAACTCAAATTTTTGTTTCTGTTTTGTAAATGTTGCTTTTTTTGTACAGGTCTGGTCTTAGTTTACTTCTCTACTTGCATGTGTTTCCCTGAGTTATCTTACTCATACAGAGTGCTTCACTCAACATCCATTTTCCAAAGACTTCCAAATCTGTATGCATAACCTAGAACCTTCTTGGGTTCTCTCCCATACTTTGTATGTTGGCAAGGAATCTTAGGTTGCAAAAGGGTCTCTAATTCAGCAGGCCACAACTGAGCTTATCATCTTCTGCTCAAAAATATGTTCATCCTTTCCTCATGCCTACCTCAACCCATCCTCCAATAAGAACACCTACTTTGCCAATTTTAGCTCCTCAGAACTACTCAGATGACTCTTACTAAGCCTCCTCTCCTATAGTTCTACTCTTATAACCCAACTGGGGGTCCCAATCATTTCTTTCCTCCTAACTGGTCTCACTACCCTTAATTTAGTCTGCTTTTAAATCTATCTTGGAAAATGCCTGGTGGTCCATCTAAAAGAGATATTGGACTATGCCAAATTGCCTTCCTTAAAACTTTTTAATAGCTCCTTCAGGAAAAACAAAAACAGAAGACATATTCTTGAGCCCGGTCTATAAAGCCTTTCATTATCTGGCCAGCGTCTACTCTCACTGTGCTTCCAGAGATCCTGGAGGTGCCACTGTTTTTAAAGATTTTATTTATTTATTCATGAGAAACACAGAAAGAGAGGCAGAGACACAGGCAAAGGGAGAAGCAGGCTCCATGCAGGGAGCCTGATGTGGGACTCAATCCCGGGACTCCAGGATCACGCCCTAGGCGGAAGGCAGGCACCAAATTGCTGAGCCACCCGGGCATCTAGGGATGCCATTCTTTTACCCGAAATATCCCGTCATCAATGTTTCCACAGAGGAGCTCCCCAGTGTTCTTAAAGATTTGGCTCATGTGTCAGGTCCCATTTCATCATCCTATTCTTTACTACTATAGTATCTTCTTTACTACTACAATATCCACTTCTACTTCTCTGCCTTCTAAACTATGAAATCTCTAAAAGGAATATCATCTTTTCATCACTGGTCCACATTCAGAGGCAAAAAAATAAAGAAGGTAAAGCTCTTGATCTTGTAATCTGGGGAGGAAGACTATATAGAAAAAAAAAAAAACTTAGAATTCCACATAAGAGCAGTGACTAATAAGGCTGATAGGAAGTATAGAAGAGAGGAGGGGCATGTGTTAGCATTAGGAAAAATTTCCTGGAAGAGGTTCCATCTGTCTTTCTGGGATCATTTTAAGTCTTAAAAAGAAATGTAATCCTGAGAATATCCTACAGTGCTTCACCAGTGTCTTTAGGTCTGAGGGATATAAGACCATACTGATTTTTATGGCTCAATTAGTTTCTGCTAATTTATATAGACAGGAGGAAAAGGTTGTGGTGATTTATTATAAAAATAGGACAACCAAGACACCTTTTTCTGATTTTATATCAAGCATTGTCTTCAAATGATAAGATGCTATAATTAAAAAAAATTTTAATTCTTGCTAAGATGTTTTCCTACTAATTTAAATTGAAATAACTTGGTGGGGGATTCATGTTAATTGTAAGATACCATTCACAATCAAGACAGTGTTTACTCTGAAGCCAACTTTTCTTTAAAAATGAACAATTCAATTGTTTTGCTTATTTTAGTCATGTAGTTTTTCTTAACCAAAGAACCTTGTGTGGCTGAATACCATACCGTATGGGGTAGAAGCACTGAGCTCAGGCAGAGTTTCTGACTACTACTTGGGAAACACATCACTCATCTAGTTATCATCTGAGGGTCTTGGAAAAAATATACTTCTGTAGAGATACAATCACTGGGGTTGGAGAGAACTGATCCTAAATTAACCCTTTAAAAAATGTTTAACTTAATGAAACCATGTAATCCATTTCCAGGTTGAACAGAATGAATTGTCACTAAATCAATAGCATATGTAGTCCATTTATCAAATACTGAATAGAGACTCATGTGTAGCTTAAAAACTACAGGTTTACATAAACTGTAGTTGGAAAAGATTTCCTCTGTGCTCAGAATACTTATAACCAAATTTTCTAAATTTAAGAAATTTACAAGTAATGCTCATGATCACTTAAATGATAAGTAGCTTATCTAATAGTGAAACCCAAAAAGAAAATAGAATTAATATAAGATATTCCTTATCTTCAGGATTTATCATCAAAAAAATGCTATTTGCATTTAACAAATATAATCAAATGGGACAGCTGCAAGTACCAAAAAAGCTAGCAATCTTTATAGCCACTTATTAAGTAGCACCAAAATGTGGTCTATAGGTCAGTGGTCAGTGCCAGCCCACAAACTGTTACAAGGATTCAGTGAGATAATTTACACCGTTATATAAATCAACACAGTGCTTTCTTCATCAAGAAAATCTTACAGAAAGTATGTCTGCTGACCTAGGCAGTATACATGGGGATACAACTGAATTATCAAGGGAACTAGAAGAACTGGGAATATATTAATTTCTCAAACTTCTTTGAAAAAAAGGTAAGAATCAAGACATAAAATAAAAAGTAGAGAATGAAAGGATTCACTAGATATGCTTTTTTAGGAATATATTATTCATTGACATGTGCAAGTAATATAAATGTTTAGAGGTCACATCTATGTGTCCCTTGTAAAATGAATAAATATCCTTTCCTGTGTTGTCTTAGCCACTTTCATGAACCTGACTCAGTGATATGAACATGAATGGGTAAAACTGAAAAGTGGTAATACTCACATTTTTATCATTCACTTTTGCAGAAACTGTGATCAGTTATAAAATACAAAATGATCACTGCATGAAGAGATCATGATGCTTATATCTAAATGTATTCAAATACTTCCTGCTCAAAATTTTGATTTTCACATAGCTCTATGATTTCACCAAATCATCTACTAAAAATAAATATAAAGTAATTGTTCTAAAACATGGTAGTTCATCAAATATGTTTATAAGTTTCACCTCTAAAAACATTTACAGAATGTTGATATATTGCTAAAGAAAGACTTTATCACCTAGGCTGAAGATCAGCAAATTTTCTCTGTAAAGGCCAGATAGTAAATATTTTAGGCTTTATAGGTCATACAGTACGTGTTGCAACTACTCAACTTTGTAATGAGCCATTGTAATGAGCAAGCAGCCATAGACAATAAGGAAACAAATAAGCATGGCTATTTCCCAATAAAACTTTTTTTATGGACGTGGAAATTTGAATTCCATATAATTTTCATATGCCACAAAATATTATTCTTCTTTTGATGGTTTTTCAGCCATTTAATAATGTAAAAGCCATGCTTAACTCCCAAGCTGTGTAAAAACAGATGGCAGGCCAAATTGGCCTGCAGGCAGTACTCTGCCCTGATCTAAACCAAAGGCATAAAAAGCATTAGTCATCCATTTCATTTTTTGAGAGATGGAATAAAGTGACAGGATAATACATAGTTTCTAACCAGAATGTAATCAATTATACCAATAGAAAATAATCATATAGAAAAAATATACCAAAAACTCTGAATGACACCCCTTGCCAGAATTATTGGCAATTTTTCTAATATTGTGTAATAACAATGAAAACATCAAAATTATCTCTAAGTTAAGCATATATGTTTGCTTAAAATGTCAATTAACTCAGCAATTCTACTTCTAGAGAAATGCCAAGAACACTGAAAATATATGTCAATGAAAAGTTTGTCAACAAGTGCTCATAGCAACATTATTCTTAATGACCAAAATGTGAAAGAACCCAAATGTCTATCAACTGATGTACGGATAAACAAAATGTGGTATATCTACACAGTGAAATATTATTCAGCCATGAAAATGAAGCACTGACACCTGCTACAACAGGAATGAACACTGAAAATGTTATGCTAAGTCAAAGGAGTCAATCACAGAAGGTCAGATATTATATAGCTCCTTTTTTTAAAAATTTTTTTAAATTTATTTATGATAGTCACAGAGAGAGAGAAAGAGAGGCAGAGACACAGGCAGAGGGAGAAGCAGGCTCCATGCACCGGGAGCCCGACGTGGGACTCGATCCCGGGTCTCCAGGATCACGCCCTGGGCCAAAGGCAGGCACCAAACCGCTGCGCCACCCAGGGATCCCTATATAGATAGCTCCTTTTTATATGAAATGTTCAGAATAGGCAAGTTCTTAGAAAGTAAAAAAACATCAGTGATGCCAGAGCCTCTGGGAAGTGAGGGAATGTGGGGTGACTGCTAATGGTATGGGATTTCCTTTTGGGGTAACAAAAATATTTTCAAATCAGATAGTAGGGACATTTGCACAACCTTGTGAATACACTGAAAACTACTAAATTATACACTTTAAAAGTGAAGGTTATATTGTATCAGTTTTATCACATAATAAAAATTATAGTTAAAAAGAATCAGAAAGAGTAAATGGTAAATGATGATATTGATGCTGTGTCAATTCAATAATGATGCATTAGGGCATCTCTGAGTGGCTCAGTGGGTTAGTCCCTGCGTTTGGCCCAGGGCGTGATCCTGGAGTCCCAGGATCAAGTCCCACATCGGGCTCCCTGTGTGGAGCCTGCTTCTCCCTCTGCCTGTGTCTCTGCCTCTCTCTCTCACTCTCTCTCTCTCTCTCTCTCGTGAATCAAAAAAATCTTAAAAAAAAATAGTGATGCATTAGTAAAAATAAGACAACCAATTAGATACAGTTTACACACTTCAGTAACAATATGTCTATCAATCACTCCAATATCACTCCAATAACGAGATTCAAGCAGATAAATGTAGTTGTCATTCAAAATTTATAATAATTTTTAAGTAAGTTCTATTGCTTGGATAATATATACGTATAAAATAAAATTTCTATATACATTGCATTTTTTTATATTACCTTTACATATCTGCCAATATTATTAGTGATACAGTTTAGATCCCCAATTTAATCTTATTCTGTAGATTTTTATATTTTTGGTGTTTTATAGTAATAATAATGGCTTTCTCTGATTAGATGTTGCTACTTAACTAAAATCATCTATACCCTTGAATATATTGAAAAGATCTGTACTAAAACACTTACCTTTTGACCATCATGCTCAAAAGTAGAAAACCAAGGTTCGGCAGTTTCCATAAGTTGTGAGAACATTGCACTAAAAATTAGAAAAATAATTTAGTGCTAATGTTAAACCCTCACTGAAGTATAAATGGTATAAAACATTAAAATAACAAAGTTTTTGTACTTACTAGGCATCATGTTCCAGATACTCGGGGTTCAAGAGAGTTTTCATTTCCTCACTTAAAAAAGCAATACAAATAATCAAGATGTATACTTTTTTAAATGAAAGGGATGCAGGGGTTGCCTAATTCTATACTCATAAGTTAACTTTCATATAGCATGCAAATGAAAAAAAAATCCTTTCTGAATATAAAAAGCAATTCCATTAACAAATGAAATTTTGGGGGGGATCCCTGGGTGGCTCAGAGGTTTAGCACCTGCCTTCAGCCTAAGGTGTGGTCCTGGAGGCCCGGGATTGAGTCCCCACATGGGGCTCCCTGCGTGGAGCCTGCTTCTCCCTCTGCCTGTGTCTCTGGCTCTCTCTCTCTGTCTCTCATGAATAAATAAATAAAATCTTTAAAAAAAAAAAACAAACAAAAAACAAAACAAAACAAAAAAACAAATGAAATTTTTTCTTTCTGTAAAGATCAAAACAAATTAAGTACCTTGTCTGTACCACAATGAAGTAACTAATTACTCCAAACAACAAATACAAAATGTGACCATATATTCCTTGAATGTGCTTGATCTAGAATAAACTGATTACTTCACAATCTATTATTTGTTTTCCAAAACAAAAGAAAATATTTATTTACTGGTCAAATATATCCTGCTGGAACATTATTTTTATAACAGCTTCTATTTTTATTACATTTTAACATCCACTTATCAGCGACAGTAGCTCTTCCAAATCTATTTTAGTGTCTTTACTTTTCAATGGCTTGAAACTGCTAGAGTAGCATGTCCAACTTATTTATTATTTTATTTTTTTATGTCCAACTTATTTAAATAATAAATAATCTATACTTTCCTGTGAAGTACATTGTACACATGTTTTTAAAAAGATAAAACTGGAATGAAAATGGGATCCCAATACTAACTTAATCCTTACCATTCTTTAGAATAACTGAAGAAAATGTAATTAAGATATGGTTACTCTAGTCAGATGCACAATATAATTAGAAAAACTCAAAAGAAATAAGGAAATACTAATCTATACTATAGTAAACAAAGATTAATCTAACAAAGACTCTAATTTATGCTCAGCAAAATGAATGGCTATATTTAATAAAGATTGAATAGATGAACACAAAAAATATGTGTTAATTTGTTATGTTCTGTACATAGATGGGTTAACCTATGGAATTCTCCTGACAAAGTTTCATCATTTCACAGTCTTAACCTATGGAATTCTCCTGACAAAGTTTCATCATTTCACAGTCTCAATTCCCAAGATACTCTTGGCTGCCTCTATGGGCCCTCCAGGCATCTAAAGTTAGAAAATATATTCTAACAATTAGCCTAAGTTAAATACAATTACTAAAGTTATTTCCTGGAATGAATAAATTAACGTATCTCAAAAACATGACAAGTCATTTTTGTTTATACAACTTGGGGTTCTTTGGGTGTACTGGTCTCCTACTTATGACTCAAACTCAGTTAAACTTGGGGGGAAGGAAGGATCTCACAGACAAGGTTCTCATGCAGCGTATAGTGAAAGAATGGGTCATTAGAGGGTGATATATATTAACATATCATTCATTAGCACTTTGCCATCATAAAAAATATTTCCTCTTCTTGATCCATTAGTTACGTATTTTCCTTTAGCACAGATCTAAGTTTTGCAAAGACAATTATGATTCCAAATTTGTCCCATAGCTGAAGTAGGACCACAACTATTAAGTGGAATTAGCAATCAGCCATATGAAACATAACCAAATGTTTATAATTTACAAAGTACCTTCAACAGAAAAGATTCTGGGGTTAAAATGATTACAGCAAGGCTGAGAAAACAGAAGGGGTTCAAATAAAAACTTGCCTTGGTTGGGCAGACTCACTGGCATGAAGAAAAGCTTGGTGGTCACAATGGAGGATAAAGACTATAGGCGCTAACAGCTCGTGCATGCCCTGAAACAACATGAGAGGGGGAGGATGTTGACGGTCCACCAGTGGACAGAACAGGCTCAGTTAAATGTTTCTTCAACTGATCCTCACCACCAACATTTCCATATTTCACTGAAATGCATAAAATGAAAAGCTACAAAATGAGATTTTATTTACTTTTAGAATTTGATTCCAATTCAACCACAGCACAAATTCTTTAAAACATGGAGAGCAGTTCTCTTTTAAATAACACAACAAACAATAAATTGGCATGGTAGACAACCTTGCACCTGTCAGTTGCTTCAAGATCTGTACTCATAAATATGAATTTCATTTATGCAAATTATAATCATGAGCTACAGTGTAAAGATCTGCAGTAAGAAGGGCAACTAAGAACTGTAGACCTAAGGAAATTACATCCAATGTTTTCATTATATAATGGCTCAAAATTAGGATGTCTGTAGATTTAGGAAGAGCTGAAGTCAGCTAGCTGGAAATGTTGGATAATAAGAGAAACAATCTTTAGCAGGTATAAAAGCAAAGTTTTCAAAGTATGATTTTCAACATGTTTAATCTGAAAACTACCATAATTTTTTTCCTACCTACTTGAACTATAAGTATACTGTTCAATTTATTTAGTGAAATCACCAATTGTATTTGCTTTTGCCTTTTATTGGTGCTCACCTGTGGATTACACAAATAGGCATAGAAACAATAAAGTATACTGATTACTAAGGTGTCTCTAAAAGAATATTATAAAAATTCATTATGTATCCATTTTTGTGGAGAGTAAGGTATCCACATTTGTAATTTGCCTTGTTCACTATGAGATTTTTCCCCCTTAAGCATCAGAAAACATGTTTAGCAAGTTAAAAATAGATTACAATAGATTTTCTGCCTCTTAAAGTGAGTAAATTATCATTTTCCTTTTGCTTAATAATTATGGATCTTTTGTAAAAATAAAATAAGACAAAACACCACCTCTATGGGAAATAAAAATAAAATACGGAAGCAAAGAGAAAAGAGAGTCTCACTGGTGGAAGTAGAGATTTCCATGATGGAAGGGCAGTCACACTAACCTCTGTACATTCTAGAAGTACCATGCCATTCTTAAAAGTTAGTGGTCATCACAAAATAATACGAAAGTAAACTCTATGAGAGTTCATTTATAAGTTATCATTAGCTTCAAATTAGGACTTACGTTTGTACAAAATAATTTATGATACAGTGACAACTTTCTTGTGATTAAGACAAATCTTGTGATTAAGACACAAACCACTTCAGTCTTTTTAAGTAACCATTTCCTTACTAAACAAACCTTGAAATGACTATTTGACTATCTCTTAGAAGAACATAGTAGATTGGGGGGACTGGGTGATGGGCACTGAGGGGGGCACTTGGCAGGATGAGCACTGGGTGTTATGGTATGTTGGCAAATTGAACTCCAATAAAAAAAAAAAAAGAACACAGTGAAGACAAAAAAAAAAAAGGAATTAAGTGCTAAGTATGCTTTAAAGTCATCGTGAGGTACTTATTCTCTTGGAATAATCTCAGTATTCCAAAAACCAAGTGCCATAATTTAATCACCAAAGTAATAGCTACTTACTGTAGTACTTATTGTAGCTACAGAAAAGGAAAAAAAAAGACAAGGAGAAAAGGAGGAAGAAATGGAAAGAAGGATGGACTGACTAGACGAAAGAAAGTAAAAATTAGAGTAGATATCTTTATGATCATCTTTTGCCTAGTTCTGATGATTTCTTCAGGATAAAGTCCCTAGAAGTAGAATTTCTGGGTTTAAATAAGTAAAGATATTTGTTAAAGTTTCTGATATATATAATTAAGCTGCCCTTCAGAAAGAATTCTCCCAATTTGGGGCATAAAAATTGCCACTTCACACATCCTAACTTGTGTTTGCTTTTTTTTTTTTTTTTTTAACACTGTAAAACTTCATAGTCAAATTATTGTTTTACCCTATTTAAATGCTAGTGAGACTGACACAAAAATTTTACTGGCCATTATTATTTAATGAATTGCCCATTTTCTCTTAATGAAGTGTTTCCTTTTTCCTGATAATTTGTTACAGAACTTTACCAATTCAGGTTATTAACCTTTAGTCATTTTTGTTATGAACACTTTCCACATTTATCCTTTGTCTTTTAATCTTGATGATATGTTATCGTGAAGCTCTATACTTTAAAACTAGCAAATTAATATATCATCCTTCAGGGCTTCTGGTTTTGCCCTCATGCCTGAAAAGACCTTATGGAGATTAGGTGAGTACACAGTTTTCTTTTTTACAGCTAATTCTTTACCCATCTGGTATTTAATTTTGTCCTGAAAAATAAATCTGTATTTTTCTCTGCAGAAGAGTGCAACTAATTACTGAATAGCCCATATTCTCCCAATAGTTTTGAAATGTTGTCTTTACCACACACTAAATAGTTAGTGCTTGTTTTTTTCTCTGCTTTTTCTGGTATTCCATTGGTTTGTACATTCTTAACAAGAACTTTACAACTTTAATGACTTGAGCTGTAAAATATTCTATTCTGCCATATTTTCTATTCTTTTTCTCAAAATTATCTTGCCTATCCTAATTTAATTAGAAGGTAGACTTCAGTGTCATTTAAACAAAATACTGCATTTATCGGCATTGCATTAAAATTAACTTGAAGAAAATAGATGTTTTAAAGAACAACTGATTTTCCAACCTAAGAAAGTTTTTTACTAGGTTTTTGTTGTTGCTGATTGTGGTGGTAATCTTCTGATTAGATCTTTTTCCCTTCAGTGTATTTTCTAACCAATGGCTGGTTTAGTAAGACTGAGTTCTTACCTAAATGCATCTTCCCACCTTCTTTAAATTTTCTCTTCCCTTTAGTTTCTGTGATACTATTCTGTCCAGAATCTCCATTTGCTTATGCATCATTTATTTTACAAACTCATATGTCAAAAATTATTAACTACCTACGATAATGCTGCGATCACAGAAGTGAATGAAGTGAGGAAGTTCCTAACCATTATGGAGCTTGCAGTCTAGAGAGCCAGATACACAATAATAAAATGAGCACAGAAGTGGCTATATAAACTGTGAAAAGTGAGGTCTATGTGTAGATACAAAAATCCAGCTCCTACTACAGGCTCAGCACATAGAATGTACTCACTGCATGGTGACTGATTACTATCTACCTTCCCATATAGCAATGTATTGGAACAATATGAAAAATGAAAAAGAATAACACTAAATTATATTTAAAATCAATAAATAAGGATGCTCTTTGTATAATGGAAATTGAGAGCTCCTTGAATATCATTAAGACAATCTTTTACAAATTCAATGTTGACTTCCAACCAAACTAGAGATATTTTCTCAAACAGGCTTGGAAGAGATTGTTAGTTTTAATCTTAATTCTAGACTAGTAAAACCTGATTAATAATTACAAGTGGCAAGGGTACAAACATCTTTAAAGGTAAAGAGAACTATTTAGAAAGAATGATCATAAATTCAATATGCTGTAAACTGGACAAAGCAAAATAAAATAGAATATATGGTCAGTATACTTATTGGTTCCCAAAATGTATATTTTGCTTCCATTTATACATCAGCATTTCTGTTTGCTTAAAGCCTTTATCCCTGCTGGATCGTTAGTAGTCACTGCACTCCAAACTCATGCCAGTAGAAAATAAAGGTAACGAAGTTTTCTTCATCAACAGCCTGTAGGCTCACAAAATTGAACCTGTTCTTTTATCTGCCTGTGTTCATTTAGCCCACCAAGCAGTCTTTATTAAAGCTGAGGCATCAGGCAGTCAAAGTTCATTAATACCATTTATATAATCTCTGCAGTTTCAATTAACTCAGCAAGACATTCTACTACATGATAACAGTCTCATTAATTCAATAAAATCCCATAACTATTAACAATATGGTCGATGTTAAACGGGGTGTCACCTAGTACAAAATAATAGCTTTAACAGCTTGTGATGAAACTCAAGGTTTTTTTTCTTAAATTTGATCTGACTAAATATTCAGTCCTTCTTTGGCAAGGTATTATTTCTATGTAAAGAATCTATAGGATTTTAAACCTGTACAGGGAGTAATTAAGTCTTATTAAAGGACTCCCAAGAGTAAGTTAATGATACTTTCTTATTCAGTAATTGATTGACTTTGTCTAAATTATCAAGAATCTGACCTTCCATAATCTTGTTTAGTCTTCCTTACAAATGCAGTGACCCACATACATCACAAATGCTTGAGTGCAGTTATTATGTTTTTGTTCCTTGTCTGTGGAACTTGTTCCATTATTATAACACTTCCCTAATCGACTTTTTCTTTCTCTAAAGAAAAATGGGAAACAAACATATAACTTGGGATGATTTTATTCTGACTTGGTTTGGTATCATCAAATCTTTTACTGTGAGGTATTTTCAAATATTGGAAAGAAGAAAGGGCACAATGAAGAGATAGCTTGGTGACAGAAGCCAACACAATGAGGAGAGAACAAAAGAACAAACTTGGATCACTGATGAGGAGTCTGAACTACTGAACTAACTAATGCTGCAGAACCATTTTGCCCCAAGACTTCTTGCAAAGTGTGTTAATAACATCCTACGAGTTTAAGTCATTTTGAACGGGATTTTCTGTTATTTGCTTCCAAAAAATCCTACACTGATATTTATTTTCTCCCAGTCTCCTTTTTGGTTTGTTTGTTTTTGGTCTTTGAACTTTTTTTAAAAATTTTTTGTTTGGTTGTTTTTTTTGGTCTTTGAACTTTGTGTCTGACTTCTGGATAGCCTATCTTGCTTGGAAAGGCATTTCCAAACCTGCGATTATAAACAATACTTCTACTTTTCTTTTTCAGTATTTCATTTAAAAATTTTAGTTTTCACATTTATATCTTTATGCCACTTGGAATTTGTTCTCCAATAAAAGTATAATTTAATCTTTTTTCTAGATGGAAAGTCAAACATGGCAAGTCAATGTCCCTTTCCCATTGAATGAAAATATCCTATCACATTAAGAATTCATATATAAATGAACCTGTTCTTAGTTTGTTCCATTGATCTATCTTGATTCCCATACTACTGTCATATTAACTTGATCACAGCTTACAGAAGTTCTTATCTCTCTTTGCCATTCTCCCTTTCATTCTGTAGCAACTCCAACATATTTAATAATGATAATAATAGTAATAACCATCATAAATACCAACAAGAACACTTAGTGATCACTATGTGTTTTTAACTCTACAAAGTCAATACTATTACTTCTCTCATCCTACTACCAATAAAACTAAGATTTAGAAAATTTAAGTAAGTAAATTGCCTAGGATTAGATAGCTAGTGAATGCTTGAGCTAAGATTCAAATAACAGATGAAGGCCTAGAGCCATGCTCTTAACCACTAAGCTATATTATCTCCATTAAAATTACTGTAAAGCTTTTTGGCACTAAATTTAAAAAGACTGTCCAGTTTCACTCACAGATTATCACTGGAATGATAATACATTTATATATTAATTTAGGAAGAAGTAATATATTTAGTGCCTTCCCATCTAAAACATGCTATCACTTCCTATTTCTTCAACTCTTGCTTTATATCCTTCAATAACATTTATAGTTTTCTTCACATAGCTGTTGCACCTACATTGTTATATTTATTTCAAGACATTTTGGGCAGCCTGGCTGGCTCAGTGGTTTAGCACCGCCTTCGGCCCAGGGCGTGATCCTGGAAACCCGGGATTGAGTCCCACGTTGGGCTTTCTGCATGGAGCCTGCTTCTCCCTCTGCCTATGTCTCTGCCTCTCTCTCTCTGTGTCTCTAATGAATAAATAAATAAAATATTAAAAAAAAGACATTTTAAAGTTTTTAATGTATATCTAACTGACTACCCCTTACCTTCAGTGTAATATAACAGAAAACACTTGTATGGTTAGAGCAATGTATGTATTATTTCTTAAGTTTATTCATTTAGGGCAGACTGGGTGGCTCAGCGGTTTAGCACTGCCTTCAGCCCAGGGTGTGATCCTGGAGATCTGGGATCGAGTCCCACGTTGGGCTTTCTGCATGGAGCCTGCTTCTTCCTCTGCCTGTGTCTCTGCCTCTCTCTCTCTCTCTCTCTCTCATGAATAAATAAAATCTTAAAAAAAAAAAGTTTATTTATTTAAATAATATGTATATCCAATGTGGGGCTCGAACTCCCAATCCCAAAATCAAGAGTCACATTCTCTTCTCACTGAAGTTAAGTGGTTATCAGTTGGACATACGTTGTAACTTTTGATTAGTAGAGAATTTATTAATTTGGTTTGAATTCCCACTTACTATATATTTTGAGAAATACATAAAAAATCCAACTTTCATATTTGTATTGGAATACCATAATCTTAAATTGAAACCTAGATACTTCTTTATATATTAAATAATTTACATTTCAATGAGAGCAAAAATCCAACAATCTTAATCTTTCCTTTAGTAATGGGATGAATATTTGGATAACAAAGAATATCATAAATTTCAAAAAATTTAGAGAACTTTCTGAAGTTATATTATCAGCAAATCTTAAAGAGTAGAGGACACCTGATTATTTTTTTACATGGCATGTCACATATTTATAAATGCTGTATTTAGAAACAATATTTATACATACAACTCTGAAAAGTTTTATTACTAGATTGGCTTCAAAGATGCTGTTTATAAACAAACTCTCAAAAGTTGAAAGAAAAGATTGAACACCTTATAGAAGACAATTTGGTGGAATGTCTTATAATAAGGAAGAAGCATATGTGCTTCAATGAGCTTACTTTTCTCACCATGCAGCTGACAAGCAGCTCTTTGATTGCTTTACTATTATGATACAACTCTGGATACAATAAAGGCTACATTATTGCTCTATCATTTGTCAAGCTGTATAGAAAATTTTGAGTCAATGGATGCCACCTGTACGATATTTTCATTACCTGTTTATAAAGCAACTGCTCGTTTTCTCTAGCATAACAGAAAAGAACATCTGTAAGAATTTTTCTCACATTTTCTTGTTGGAAAAACTGCATTTCAGGAAACCTGAAGAAAGAAAACACAGGATTAAAACTGACTAGCACAATTCCAAGAATTATCCTCAAACTCTCATGTTTAAAAAGTGTCAAGGGCTACTTTAGGTATTAGTACATTTGCCATTCAACTAACTTATGCCATTGGTGGGCCAAGTTAAGGAAAAAGGGTGAGAAAAGGGAAATTATTCTATCACAGAGAGAAATAATACTTTTCAAATGTCTCCATATGCTTTAAGTCTTCATAAGGTAGATACAGCAGTTCTTAAGCAAAATGAATCATAGCCTATATATTTAGGGGGCAGGATTATTAGCCTATTTGGTTTTTAGGACTAAAAGGTAATTTTGGATGCACCAGCTTTTTGAAGAAATCATTATCTTTTTTCTTATGCAAGTATCAAGATTTAAATTATTACATATGACCACACTTAGTTTTGTCTGATTAAAATGTAGACTTTAAATGAACAAGTGAATATCGCTTAAATGCTCTCTGGTTAGAAAATCCTACCAGGTGCTTTGAGGTAATGTGAAATAGAAAAATGGCACAGTATCCACTTGAAAGGAGCTTACATAGTTGTTTCTAATGAAAGGATATACAATTACAATAATCCAAAGAACAAATACACAGCAATCTAATACACAATAAATACGTAAGCGATGAAGGAATGTCATCTAGAAGGTAGCAAATAGCTTCAATCACAAAAGATTTGAACAGGAATTTTTTGGCGAGGAGGAGGATGGACTATCAGTGGTAAAGATAACCAAATCAGAAGGAAAGATGAAGGCACAGAAGGCAATGAGTATTCTAAGTGTACAGCACAGTAATGAGAAAGAAATGTAATCAGTAATGAGAAAGAAAAGTACTTTCATGAAGTACTGCCAGTTGAGAGCAGGACGATGAGATGGAAGAAAAGGTGGGCAGCTCTGAATTGCTGAATTCACGAATGAAGAAAAATCAACCAAGTGACTCTACATTTTTGAATAGGTAAGTAACAAAGAAAATAATATTTGAGTAACTCTAAGTGGGAATAAGCTTTGAAAAGAGGAGAGATTACAGGAAGGAACAAGAGGGCATTATAAAGAACTGAAGTGGAAAAAATCACAAACCTGAGAAGAAAAAGCCTGCATTCAAATTCATGTTGCATAATTACTAGCTATATAATCTTGAGTAAGTGATTGCTTTACTGCCCCACCTATTAAGTGGGGATAATAATACTGATCTTGTGATCAAGATGAGATCATATTAAAGCACCAAGAACAGTGCCTGGGAAGCAGTAAATGTGCTAGAATAGAGGTCATTATTAGTCTTTGAATTTTGGTACTTTAGATGATAAAAAAGTGCATTGGGTGGTTTTGGAACTAGAAAATAAGTGGATATGAGAGAGGCTGAAGAGAAAGAGTACCTAAAGCATGGAAGGACAGGGCATTATCAAAACAGAAAAATACTCCTTAATGAGTCTTTTAAAGAGCAAAAATGGCTGTTTTACTTCATATTATAATGGCTAACTGCCTTTTCCTGGAGACTTCAGCTGTTTTAATGCTTCATTCTGATCCTTTTCTGGCTCCCTGTGAGAGTTGTAACTTTCTTTCCAGTCCAGGCTGGGTTTCTGGGTTAACTATGTTAATGGTTTCTGAAGCATCTCATTTCTGGTCCTATTTTTTATGACAAATTAAAGCCTGTTTTATCTTCATCTGTTCATGTGACTTTTGCTTGAAATTCCCTTTGATGTCCAATTGTCCCCAAACACGTACATCTGGTTTTGTCTCTAGCAGAAAGGAGACCTCTTTTTTGGATACGTAATAAACAACCCATGGATCTGAGCAAGATGACTTCACATCTCTGCATGAATCTTAATTTGATGACCTCTCCAGACAGTATCTACTCAGGCAAGGGAGTGTGACGAGGCTTAAATGACTACAGCTCCTAAAGAGAGAAAAATTAACCAGAAAGCATATTTGGAGCAAGAATATTATATCATAGAAGCCAAAGGTGTTCCAGGAAGTTGTCAAATGCACTGAAGTAGGAAAAAAACACAACCACTTTTTGAATGACTTCTTTGGGACAAAAGAAAGTTGATAAAGTCCTTAGAAAGTCAAATACCCCGAAGTAAAGATGAAAGACAGGTAAGTAATTAAAATAAATTGCTAAAGAGAAATTTCTTGGGAAAACTTAAGTCACTAAGGTAAAAACATTAATCCTTCTAAGAAGTGAAACTGTTTCCCCTTCTTCTTCATTAGATGACTTAAATCTAGTCCTGTCTTTTTTTTTTTTTTGAGGTATAATTGACATACAACATATTAGTTTCAGTCATAAAACATAATGATATGATATTTGTATACACTGTGAAATGATTACCAAAGTAAGTCTAGTTGCCATCCTAGCCATGTCTTTAAGTAGGCTTCCTGCCCCATAATTTAGATAACATGGCTTAATGATTTTGCACATTTTCTCCCTTAACTATTCTTCAGAAATTTTCCATGTACACTGGCACAACCAAATTCTGTGTAGCTGATGCAATCTGAACTGATTATGCAAGAAAGTACTAAAAACTGCAACATCCACTTTGTAACAAATACCCATGAACTATATAGTAAGAGTTTAATACCTAACTACTAAAAATGTAAATTATATTACATACCAATTCATAGTTTCATTTAAATGCATACTAACCACTTGCAAGATTAAAAACAAGAGAGCTACAAGAATTAAATTGCAGGTAGATAATTTAAATTACCCACTTTTAGCAAATACCCAATCAACTAAAAATGTGTATTAGGCAGACACAGCATATCTACACAACAGCACACTATCTACAACTCTACAACCCTAAAGTGCCATTTATAACATTTCATTATCCATTCTTTTTTATAAAAGTAGGACTTGTTCAATAAATTCTGATGGTTTTATAGCATCAAAATTACACTTATATAAGTAAGGTAGATACAAAAAAGTTTTTTAAAAGATATAAAAGTTTATGCTACTTAAGAAGCTGGAAAAAGAGGGATGCCTGGGTGGCTCAGTGATTAAGCATCTGCCTTTGGCTGAGGTTGTGATCCCAGGGTTCCCGGATCAAGTCCCACATCAGGCTCCCTGCTTCTCCCTCTGCCTATGTCTCTGCCTCCCTCTGTGTCTCTCAGGAATAAATAAGTAAAATCTTAAAAAAAAAAGTTGGAAAAATAATTTACATTCAGAGAAGTTTAAAGCTGAAGTCTTTGGAGATTATCCACTCTAACTCAGAAAGTCACAGGTAAGGATTCTGAAGCAGATGAATACCTGCTACCTGCCCCCACATATCTGGGTGGTTAGGTAACAGTACTTTCCAACCACTTCACTCATCAATTATAAATGAGTCAGATGTACATATTTAGGTAAAATTCCATGAGCTTAGAGGTACCAAGAAGGTCATAAGGTTGATGAGTACAACCGAATAATATATTTCCCACAACAAATACTTAACTGTCTTATTGTTAGGCTTCAAACCAGAAGATATAACATCTATAGGAATCAGAAATAAGGGAGAAAAGTACAGTGAGTAGTTTTTCCAGGAAGAGTAATGATCAGTTTGGTTTCTCTTAAAAAAAAAAAAATCTCTTATTTATTTTTCTATTTGAGAAAGAGAGTGAGGTGGAAGGGGGAGGAGCAGAGGAAGAGGGACAAGCAGATTCCATGCCAAGTGCAGAGCCTCATGCAGGACCTGACGAGGGGCCCGATCCCATGACCCCAAGATCACAACCCGAGCTGAAATCAAGAGGTAGACGCCCAACCAACTGAACCATCCAGGCATTTCAGTAATAATCAGTTTCTGATGATATGTTTTAAACATACTTTTTTAACTCTTTTTTACTTATTTATGATAATCACACACACACACAGAGAGAGAGAGAGAGAGAGAGAGGCAAAGACACAGGCAGAGGGAGAAGCAGGTTCCATGCACCAGAGCCCGACATGGGATTCGATCCCAGGTCTCCAGGATCGCGCCCTGGGCCAAAGGCAGGCGCCAAACCGCTGTGCCACCCAGGGATCCCATGATGATATGTTTTAAGTTTCAAAATAGCTTCCCAGTCATCCATTACACATCTATGCCTTTTTTTTTTTTAAACTTCATGCCATCTGGTGTTGATTCAAGATAGGTAAAGTAATTTGAACATTCTAACACAAATGTCATTGGAAAGGTAAATTTACTTTTAAAACAATAATAAATATCACAGATTATGGACCCAAGCTGACTTCAACAATTGTTAAGATTTTGAAGGTCAATACTGATTCTACAGTGTCATTAAAAAAAAAAAAGTAATAATTTCAGTAAAGATGAGGCATATTAAAAAAAAATACTTGAGTTGAAACTGTAAATTTATGATTAATTCAAACCAAATATCTGATAGGCAAATAAAGGGAAAAAATTCACATTAATAGGGTTTAAAGATAAATTTTGTTATTATCAGAAAATGGAAGTCCAAGAGAAGTAATTTCTGCCATTGGCCAGAAAAAGAAAATGGCACTAAATAAGTTAGAGTGAAACTCTTATGTAGATAAAAACCAAAGAAAAAGTAACATAAAAGTATTCCATGATGAAATTTAGACAATACACTCTAAGATTTTTCTTTTTTTTCTTTCTTTTTTTTTTTTTTACCTGTATCCTAAACTTCTTTATTTAAGAACAAAGTGATGAATGGTATGGGTATTAAAAAAAGAGCACCCTTGAACCTTACCTTCCTCCCTCCAACCTGTTACCCCCAAACTCCCTGCCCCACACCCTCTATGTTCCCAAATCTGTTCTCAGTGAATGAAGAACTTAATCCCAAAGTCCTGGTACAAACCCCAGGTTCTTTCCCTAGCATTCCCCCTCCCTCTCAGCACAGGAGAGCCCAGAGTGGTGACAGACACAGAGGGAAAGGCTTCACTGTCAGGAAGTAGTGAGTAAGGAGTAGTGAAGTGATGGCTCCTATAGCTTGGGGTTCCAGAGAGGACCCTGGTGCCAGAGGAAAGCACACTGGTGCTCCTGAGAAAGGAGA